CCGAGGCATGAAGTCCGACCAATTCGAATTAACTCCATTCATTCTCCCTGCATTTTCCATTGTTGGGTTCCCCTCCACGTTAGATATTGCACATCTGTTTTCCCAGTTGTCTTGTGTTCAGCATTGAGGATTGAGTTGTTAGGGCCCAATCCCACTACAGGATTACATCTGGGCGAGACAGCACATGGAGTACAACTGATTGGTGTGAGTTGTTAGTCCTTGACGTTGATGAGAATCAGCGAACTGTTCGATATCTAGTGAGGCGAGTGCTCGAAGACTTGTCATTTCAACGACCCTACTTATTCTATGAACACGCAACTGCTGCTTGCTTCAATTCGCCGGAGTAAGAAAGAAAAAAAGTTGTAATAAACCTTGAAATAAAATTTAAATGAAAATTCTTATCAAACGCACACGCTTCTTCCATGGAACGGATGGAAAACCACCAAAAATGCTTAACATTGTACATATATTGAACACTAAATAACTGATAAGTAACCTCTCCTTTATTCGTTCTTTTAAGGTACAGATGAGTTCATCTTAACAAATTACTTAGCTGCAGTTCATAGATACTTCAAAGACTTTATATATTAGTTATTTTCTTTTCGTTTCACTACATCTAATTAAAATTACTACCTCACGCGAGCTTTTTAGACGTCACTATAGTAACGCATAAGTTTTGTTTCTTTTCAATCTAGACTCAGTTGTGATATATATAGCATCCAAAAATTACCTATTTTAGAAATACAAAATTATAAAAAAAACTTCTAAATATATTTGAAATCAAATCTAGTACTCATTAGAGTATAGGCGCCTGTACGCGCATATAAGAGGTGACCTTCCTATGACTTATAACATCCTAAACAGTTTTAAGGAACCCCTTTAAATACTTACTTGAACTTAGAACCAACACAAACCTTAGGGGTAACACCCAGAAATTTTTGGGCAGAACGACTGTAAGCACTCCTCCTTAAGAGTAGTCAATTGAATTCTGGAATTCCAATACGTATTGGTGCTGGTCCCAGCACCGATCAATGCAAGATGAGCTACTCCAAGCGACTCTCTAGAGGTCCTTTGGGACCTAATTTCATATTATCTTTTGTCGTTGAACATACCTGGGTTCTTACCTGGAGATATCGGTGATCCATTGTTACTAGATACGGAAGCACATTGAGCAAAAGCTTGTTCTATTCTTCCCAGAACCATTTGAATGAACATTTCGTTAAAATTATAACCGGCGGTTATGGTTATAATGTTGCTTCAAACATAGAAGTTATTAAAATTTAGCTTCCGGCGCAATATGTTTATGCTGTGGTTCACTACGCTGAAAAACGTTAGTTTATGGTGTTTTGCACCAAAATAAAGACTGAAAATTATTTTCTTAGGGGGATATTTATTTTTTGGTGAAATATTTGACTGAGTAGCAGCTTTCTAGTTCCGTTGAGACCATTTAAATCTAATGACATATTATCATACACTTTAGTGCGTGATTATCATAACAAATGGTTAGAGAAAAATAAACGACGTCACCCAAAATCATTTACAATGGCTCAGATGCATCCACTTTTGTCTTCCCTGCAATTTTTAGCTTCTGAATTCCTCATAACATGGTTTGGTTTTAAATTAGTGGTCATTAATTTATATTTTCTCGAATCGTATGTTTGATGTCTAGTCTTTCCCATTACCACTGATACTGTTACTACATCTACTATTCTGGGATTTGGCCTGAAAATGTTTCTCTGTGCTACTGGAGTATGGCAGCCTGAACCAGTTAGCTTACGTACTAAGTTCTAACTATAGTATGCAAAAAACAGCATTCTACCCTTAGTTTATTTTAATTTTTTGATCATTTTTATTATCATAGAAGATTTTTGGTCTTGGAAGAGACAATATTATAATACACTTAGGCCCCAAGATTATCAGTTATAGTACGTTGTGTCAATATACGAAAGTCTCGTTTTCTATATTAAGATATAAATGATAGACTCAAGCTTTCTAAACTCCATTAATAGAAGAGGTTGAAAAAGTCTGCCACGAATGTAGTACAGTCAATCTGAACATGTATAACTGTGTCATATTTGGTAAGATATGGACTATCTAATTAGGTGCAGTACCCTTGATTAGGTATCATATTCTTGGGCAATAAACCCGGAAATTATCTTCCTTTAAGTCTTTGAAGTCTTTGAGAGGTAACCATAACCTGTTAGATCTTTTATAAGCCAACCCATTATAATTTTTAGTTCTTCGAATTTAATTACTCATAGGTCTTTATGTTCTTGACCTCATAGAGACGGTGTTCTGTTGACAACTTGCTATTGGCTAGTACTGTGACTAGTGTATAACAGGCCACTACTCCTGGAACCTAACTTTAGGCTTACATTTTAGAACCGGTGAAGTTAGTCATTAGTTTTCAAACATTTTAGCCACTTGAATATAAAAGCACCGACGATTTACGGGAATGGTAATGCATTAGTACAGAATACAAGAAGTAGATGATCAAGAATTATACCTTGCTAACTGCAAAAGCGTTTGGGACTAAATAATCACTTACTTTATGCATAGTTGGTGGGAGTTAACATTTAAAGGTCCCAGGCCACCTGCAGAAGTTTTTAATGGCTTTAATATAGTGCCACTAATTTTGTAGTGAATGGGAATACGAGTTGGGACAACTAAATGTATTTAAACGTAAAACTACAGAATCTCTTAGTAAAATCTGAGAACCTTACAGTGGATACTTCATTTGCAAAATATCCATCAGTTGTCTTGACATTGTTTTTCCTTCGTTTCCATACTAATCATCCTCTGTCCTTGTTCTCTTCTCTTCAACTTTCTCAACCTTCTGCCGCCATACATTTCACATTTGACTGGTGATACATACGGCTTATATATGTAGACATTAGTAGCACACACAATAATCGTCCTTCCCTTTAACAGTTGTTCTTGTAGTGGTTCTGCTCGCCATGCCACTTCTTTTCTGCAGTATGTGCACGCTGTCTGTCAAAATGTCCAGTCTGTGGCGCACTGACCTCGATAACTCCGTTGACCCACTGAGCCATCTGCATCTGATGCTCACCCAGCATCCGCGACAGTCAACGCCGACGCAGGCATGTGTGTTCTTATTCTCGTTACGTAATGATGAGTCATAGGAGTACTTGACTAACAATAACTTTATAAATCGGGAGCAAACTATTCTCTTTTAAGAACTGTTGGCTTAATGAAACATCGTTTAAAAATTAAGAATTAAAACTTTCAACGTAATCTACCAGTGATTATATCAACAACTTTAATTTGTTAGTATTTTTCAATATTTTAAAAGTGCATCTGGATAACTTCAGTATTATAAACCGTAGAGCATCTTAAAATGAGGTGTGATTTACCGACTTCTAAAGCCCTTTAAGCTTTAAACTATTAAGTGCTGAGGATATCATTTCTTCCAGCACGTGTACAGTAGCTTTCTATTATCTTGACTACTAATTTCAATAAAATTTTTCTTGCGTCATACTTACATATACGAGGTTGCAAATGGCTTCTGTTTTTTTTGGCAAATAATGTTTCTCTTTTATGAATTCAAAAAATGAAGACTGAATAAACAAACACTTTCTAAACTTAAATACCTATAATATCAGTTTTTTCAACTAGTGTTGAGTAGAATGTTAAATTATCCAGCAAATTTAATAACTCATGTGTATGAGTAAATCATAAATGAGTTGTTTATACTTAGTTCCACTGTCAAAACTATTTTAGACCTTGAAATATATTCTAACCACTAAGTTATTGAATTGAGTTAGGTAATACACAGGATTTTTAATGGCTTAAAAGCGTTATTTTCATCACAAATAAACGGTGGTTTTCTTATCTGAATCGTATAAATCGTTTAATACTTCATACCCTTATTAGAATTACAGGGAGTTAATTGCTGATTTTTTGATAATGCTAATAAGACGCAGAATATTTATTTCATTTATTTACATTTATCTTCAAGTCAAAAATCATTACTAACTATAATTAGGCAGATTACCCATCAAAATAACACTCGGTCCTGCAACCATTTATTCTATGTATTAAAACGTCAAAACTAGTTCATGTCGTGTTAACTATCAACGTATATAAAAAACAAAAAATAAGAATGATAGTGAATAAAAAATCTTATAAAGTTAAAAAATAGAGTGTTGAAGAAGTCAATAAATGGAAATACTATATTAAGGTATTTAACTAATATGTTCAAAAGTTTTAAAACTAAAATATGTAAGTAAGCTAGCTAGCCAGCACAACAATTACAGAGCTGATGTTGTTGCAGTGAGCGAAAACTCAGGTGGGGAGGATCAAGTTTTATGATTTCATACAAAATTACAGAATGTCTTCATAAAATATGAAAACCATACATTAAATATTTAATTTATAAATCTTCCATCATTTGTCCCTTACATACTTCATCGTACCTTCATGACAGTCATTATCAAAATTGCTCTCTGGTTACATTTCTGTTCTTTACAATTCGATTTTCTCAACCTTCTAATGCCAAGCATTCTTTTTCTGATTGATATTGTAAACTACTTATGTTGACAGACAAGTAGCATACACTATACTATCAACTCATTATTACTGGATTCAATTTATACATCTTATTGATAAATATAAATATCCCGAAAGCTTCAATGTCGGAATTGTCTCTGACAGAAAAATAAAACAGTTATGATCAAACGTTTTTCAGCATCCGTACTCAGGACATAAGCTGTTTGAAAAATGGAATAAACTTGATTCTTTTTGTATATCTGATCGGCACAATATTTTCAAATGACTTAATATCTACATGACACTGGATATTTTATTTCAGTCTTAAAAGGGCATAATTGATAAACCGGATATATATATATATATATATATATATCAGGTTTATAACTCATCAGGTTAATCATTCCAATAACAGTCTTAAAATTAGTTTCATTATCTAGATATATTTGCCTTTCTTCTTTTATTATATCTTGGTTAGCATATCATTTTGTATGCGTGATTCCCTGTGTTTATTACTACCTTTTCATCATCCAAGTTTCTTATTTTATACTGACTTATCAAATAACTTAGATTCTCTATGGTTTGTAAAAGTCAATAAAGTAGAAAAAAATGATTCAGCCATGAATATTTACAACTTCCAGTATATAGTTTCGAATGCTGTCCAAATTATATAAACAAGTATGATAACAGTAACAGTAACTTGGAAGTAATCGAATTGAAAGCAACGCTGATTCATTTTTCTACATATTAAAAATAATTGTAATCTTCAATTAGTTATACTATTCATTTGCTCCACAAAATATTCTTTAAAAAAAGAGCTTGTTTGAAGGAAAACAAAATAAAACTGTAAAGTTAGAATATAAATGATACAATATAACAACTGATTAAGTATAGTTATTTCTAAACACAAGTAAGTTATTGGGTAAACTGTTATACAATAGTTGCCCCAAAAACATTTTAATTATTTACAATATTTGGTTACACTTTAACAACATCATCAAAACGTTTCCAGTTGTAGATTACTTATAAATTCATATTTTAAAATATTTTATTGTTGTTTAGCGGGTATTTTATTTGTTTGTTTTATGTGTGATAAGTTTTGCTAAAAAATTTTAAATTCTTTAATCTTTGATCAGGTTGAGTATAACTAAAAAGAATGTTAAGAAATATCATGGAATTTTGATATACCATCGGACTAAAAAAAATTTTTTCTTTGTTTACATTTGTGATGGAAACCGAGAACACAAATATCATAGAAGTAAGTAAGGAAATAGTTAGTAATTTAAATTGTGATAGACTCATGTCAACTATTACAAAAAATTACAAGATGGCTATTATCCAAACATTTTAGTTAATTATTCAATGAACTAATGATAATGTAGAGATGTTTCAATGAAATCATGTAATCATCATATACTATCAGACTTAACCGTAAATAGCATCATTATCAGAGTCGAATGCTTCCACATATTCAGACAAGAAATCTAAAAGTGTATTTAGTTATTATGATAGCATTCGTTGAATTTAAGTAACTACTGAAAGATAGTCTTACAGCAAATAGAAAAAATGAATAACATGTTCTAACATTCTGTCACCTTGATATTTTCCCATTTCTTACAGAATACCATATCAACTGAGACTTATGTTTCTTTTTAAAAGCTTTAAATGATTATCATACTATCTGTTAAGATAAAAAATGTTCATTTAAACGTTGTTATTCTTAAATTTTGATGATATACTACTAATATTATTTATAGGATATAATGCAAAAGAATGTCAATATTTTACAAACACCTAATGAACAATTAACAAAAGTGAAACAATGATAAATGAATCTATTTTAGATTGTTTAAATGTAATTCAAAAATAACAAATAAAAATTATTAATAATTAAATTTTATTTTAGAAGGATAATTCTATATTTCAAATGTTATGTAAATGTATTGCATTTAGTAGAATGATTTATGAAATAAATGATTGGCATCATGCTCAATATCAATGTTGTTTTGGTTATTTTTATATTAATTGGAAAGGTGAAAGTAAGTTATTTTGTTATTGTTGTTGAAATTCTAGAAAATTAACATTAAATTGTTACTTACTTACGCCTGTTACATCCGTTAGAGAGAATAGGCCGCCAACCAACAATCTCCAACCCACTCTGTCCTGGGCCTTCCTTTCTAGTTTTATCCATTTCTTGTTCATTTTTCTCATGTCTATTTCCATTTTCCGGCGTAATGTGTTCTTTGATCTTCCTCTTTCCTCTGGCCTTTAGGATTCCATCCAGAGGCTTGCCTTGTGATGCAGTTGGGTGCTTTCCTCAATGTGTGTCCTATCCACTTCCAGTACTTCTTCTTGATTTCTTCCTCCACTGGGATTCGGTTTGTTTTCTCCCACACTAGGTTGTTGCTGATAGTGTCCGGCCAATGGATCCAAAGTACTTTGCGTAGACAACTGTTACTAAACACTTGTATCTTCTGGATGATGGCTTTTGTAGTTCTCCAAGTTTCCGCCTCATACAGTAGAACTGTCTTGACATCTGTATTGAAAATTCTGACCTTGGTGTTGGCTTGTGTACAGTTGTTTTGAGTTCCAGATGTTCTTCAGTTATAGATATATTGCTCTTGCTTTGCCGATCCACGCCTTCACATCTGCATCAGATCAACCGTGTTCATGAATGATGCTGCCCGAATAAGTAAAGGTTTTTACATCTTCCGAATCTTATCCGTCAAGTGTGATTCGATTGCTACATGCTGTGTTGTATCGGAGAATCTTGCTTTTCCATATTAAATTATTAGATAATAAATAAAAAAAGTTTCGAATGAATGTCATTCTTGTAAGTTACAATAATCATGAATACAATATTTTAAATATTAGCATTTATAGGACAAAATGAAGTCAAACGGTTTTAAATCTCGGCCAGTTTTGTTATTTGTAGGACTAACTACCAATCTTGACATATTCATGCTTTACAGACTACTAGAGCTTATTTAAACAGCACAACATGGCACCCTGCAAAGTTTTACCTTTTGGCTGTTGTCTATGTACTTTGATATTGAACGTCTAGATGAAATTACAGTTTTCTGATTACGAGTTTAGTAAATTGTAGCCACAAAACAATAGAATAAAGGGCAAAATCTGACATAGAATTCCAAAATGTGAAGTTGACTGGTTCATGATGTTGTGATCTTGGTACTAATAAGTTAAATAGGTCATAGGCAACATGTCTCACCAAATGATTTTAGATGTAAAGACAGGAAGTTGGAAAACTCATTTGTATTCGCATCAGTCCATCGAAACAAGCCAAAATTTATTATTCACTTGTATCAGGGATTTGAGTCAATGTCATTTTTAACCTGAAGTCCTTAAGATATTAGAAACGATATATGGTTATGTATTTCATGTCCACTTACCTGTTTAATTTTGTCATTGTCCAAACATTATTTATATGTTCCTTTTCTATAGACGGTTATATCAAGTTAGAACGGTTTAATGTTTCAATGTATTTACCTTTTTTCATATTTGTTGGCATTTTTAATTATCATTATATAAATAATTATTTTATTCTATTCAGAATATGCTTTACAAGCTGAAAGCCATGCAGAAAACTCCATGAAATTAATATCATTATATTTAAATTCTACTAGTCAGCAAATGAATCAACAGAATTCTGATGATCAAGCTAATTTACTTATTCTTTGTATAGTTTTACTGAATTATTATACATTAGCGAAATCAAAAATAATTTTAAAAAAGTAAGTGATCAACTTATTAATACAATTGAGAATTTTTTTCTTGAGTCTATAATATTAGAAAAAGCAGTAACTTACAAATAATCTTGATGTAGAATCCCTTATATTATGAGCTAGTAGAATCTGAGCGTTACTCGTCTTATTTTGACCACCAGAAACTCTAAGAATCCTCTGTTTAATTCCATATAGAGTTGTAATTGGGTGGAGACTGATTAATAATCCAAAATTAATAACCAAACTGTGTTTAGTACTGTACATAAACGATGGTGGTTGTTAACTAATATCAGTTTCTCGCGAAAATTACTCTTAAATAAAACCTTAAAAGTGAAACAATTCAGTTATTTCATAATCAGTAGTTTCAATTTTAAAATATTCTTTTTTTATCGAAAAGATTTTGAATAATAAACTGAATCACTTTTTACTATAATCTTCCGCAACTTCGAGTGCTGAATAAAAATTGTAAAACTCATTGATTTCTTAAATCAGATAAGTAGTTAATTCAAATCTCGGACTAGGAAATGGAATCCTGTAGTTATAAGAAGTTTGTTTTACGTAAAATCAATTCTAAAAGTTCAAGTAAATAAATCTATTAAATGTACTATATTTGAGAGAAAATTATGTAGTCAAGTAATATGTTTATATTTCAATCCCTGTACTGATAAAGTGAAAATCATACGATCGATATCTTATCAATCATTTTATTTGGAATTCTTCCTGAATAGACTTCATTAAATTAGCATATTCATATTGCTTGACATTTCTAACTATGTTAGATATCCGGAGGTACTAATCAGAAACCAATAAATCTTAGTGTTATACTTAACTGGACTTATATTCATTTACATATTGGAACTTCAAATATGGTATTTAAAAACCTTACCACTGAACTATTTAGATTGGTGTGTAATTTTGAGTCAGTTAACGTATTGTTCACTTTACAACCTGAATAAACAGAAGCTGATCAAAATCAAAGATAAATCACTGGTTACTGCTAATTAGTCATCGTATCCTTTATTGTATCTCTGCTAAATAATTACTTTATTAAATAGTTAGATTAGCTTCATATATTTCATTGAAACCATGGACCGACCAATGGTAGACCAACACTGACAAACTGTAAGTACCGAATGGCTGTTATGTCATAATATAGGATTCCTCAATAGTGCACGCCTATGACTGTATACGCGGCACTCAGATCCAAGAACTCCGGTCTCGCACGCGAACGTATATGACCTTCATACCACTGAGCCAGCATCCAACGGTGTTATTGTTTAGTAGTTCCAGGTTTTTATTAGTGGTCTAACATTGATCGGTTCATGATTTCAATGAAAGCTAACAAACTTCACAACTCTACACTGATCATATATTCTAGTGAAATTTTTTTACTCATCTAAGAATTAATTATGAACATTTCTTAAGTATACAGTAATGTTAAATTGAACAGTCTATTTATACATATTAAGGTTATAAGGTTGATACTAAGCCAGCCTTTATATTATCATATAAAAGTGTTCAAGCGCGTATACTAACATTTATTGAAGGTTCGGATATAGGAAGAGTAAATCTTCCTTTGTGTGTTTAAAAACAATTAATTCTAACCCATGATCTACGCTAGTAATACTGATTCATTATTCAACTTAGTTTTCACAAAACGTACTATATTACTATCTTTGTTTCCTTTTACTTTCCAGTTTGTCTAGTTTGCCATTTATTTTTCATATATATAATGTCTTAATAAGTATCATGTCATCAGATTGTTCGAAATATAATCCACAAATTTACCACGTAATTGTTATAACTTTAGTCTTCTCATTTATTTACCCTAATATACCTTCATTTATTTTATCAGGACAAAAGATGCGTTCAGTTCAATCAGACAAGCTGAAAAGGCATTAAATAAAGTTGAACAGCTGATTGATTCACTTCAAAAATCTAAAAATAGTTTAGAAAATATTGATAATTATGAAGATAATTCTAAACAATTTGATAGATATTTAGAAAATTATTATCAACAATGGGATCATTGTACTTTAATGAGATTAGATAAAAAATTTTATCCAAATTTGCAAAATTTAAAAGTTTGTATTTATTGTTTGTATGGAAAGTAAGTATTTTACTATACTTAAACTATTCCTATGAATTATGTATATATTAGATGCATTATTATAATATTGTTGTCAATTGACCGAAGAGGAAACTCAAACAATTAATGCTTGTTTTAGAACTATCGAATTATATATGGAACTCAGAAGGTCTTGGGTTCGATTCTTTCGTAAGGGGCCGTAGATGTGCACTACTGAGGCGTCCTGTATTAGGAGGAAACGGCCTTTCAGCGCTTTCAGGTTTTCAGTGGTAACTAAACATCGATCGGTTCATGATCTCAATGAAAGTCAATAATCTCTACAATCCTATATTGATATTTAACACAATCACTATATTTAGACAGTGTTAGCAATTCTGTTTTTGCCACTTATGGCCCTAATGGGTTGGTGTTTGACGAAACCTCAGCACGGATTCGAAAAGCTCGCTTGGCTTTTGCCAACTTACATCACCTATAGCGAAGGCGAGATATCCGTCTATCAATAAAAGGACGAGTATACTGTGCGGCAGTCCGTTCTGTTTTAATTTACGGCTGCAAAACATGGCCATTAAGAGTAGAAGACACTCGTAAGCTACTATTATTTGACCACAGATGCCTCAGAAATATTGCTGGCGTCTACTGGGATCACCAGGTAAGTAATAGTGAGGTTAGACCCAGGGTATTAGGGAATTATGGTAAATCAGTCGATGAGGTTATGAATCTTCATCGACTAAGATGGTTGGGCCACGTGTTACGTATGCCCAAACACCGATTACCACGTCATGTAATGCTAACCGGTGTTGGAGATGGTTGGAAAAGAATTAGGGGTGGCCAAACCAAAACGTGGCATCAGTGCTTGAAGTCACTAACTTCTAGTTTGAGCCATTTTGGTAGATGCAGATTACGCGTGTATACACTCTCTATCTTCCCTTAAACTAAGAGATTAAAATTGCTTCATATCTTTCTTTCTACGAACTAATTCTTTCTTCGTGTACTATATCCTTATTGCAATCTTTCTTTTATATATTACCACCTTTGAATTAACTACTTTTATGAATCCGGTGTCCATCTTGTTGTGTTAATGAGGTATGGCAACTTGGACCGGTGCATATATGTGCCTGGTCCTACGTTGTAGCTGACTGGCTGACTGAGTTATCTGCGAATTTCTCGTTTAAATACATTGGACAGAAATAAGATGCTGCATGACTTAAGTTAGCTATTTTCTTCCAGAAGATCGAATTTTAAAAATATACATAATTTACAATATTCACTTGAAATAAATAGGCTAAAAATTTATTCCCTCCTAAATGTGTTCAAATGCATAAGGAAAAAAGATGATAGTTGCTATAAATGAATTAGATTCAAGTGCTTTTCACTCTGAACCGTTTTTTAATGTTCATGAATATTATGTGTACTTTATTTAGAATTGCATTTGAATGTGAGAAATATGTTGTATCTTTTGATCAATATATGCAAGCATTGAAATTCATAGAGAAGACATATGGTCCAGAGAGTAAAGAAATGATATCAGTTTATCACGCACTTGCTCATGTAAGTGTTAGTTTTGATATTAACAACTCACTCGTTTTGATAAAAAGTCAGTTTATTTAGAGAAGTTATGTTGATAGTTCAGTTGTACAGTTTTTACTCTCATACTAGAATTTTATTCAAGTTAATTACGGTATCTCACATTAAGAAGTTGATACGGATTTGTACTTAGACCTTTTAGTTTAGGAAACGTGACATCATAATCTTGGTCTTAAGTAAAATCTCTCCTTTGTCATCGTAAAATATGAGTGGTTCGTGAATTGGTTTTCATATTCTTTACAAAGAAGTAGTTCAACAGTACATTAGCAAATGAACACTTGTGTAGCATTGAAACATAATGCTAACTCACTTTATCTACTGAAAATCAAAGTTTCGAGGATGGAAAATTAAAAACACAGAAAATGTATTTAAATTATGCTACAAGGACCTTCATTATACATTCCAGTGTATTGATTGAAAGTGGATTGTTGGTTCTTCTTTGTTAGCATCTGCCGTATAAGTCGTTGATTATCTCAATTGCTTCACTGTAACGGGATAAACACTCAAAAGCTTCTTCAGCTACCAATACTTGTTTAGTATCTACAATTTGTTGATCCACCACCTTTCAGGATAAATCTAAGTTTCAATGTCTTACGCAGTCAATCACAAGAAAGTAGTATTATCATCTGTAAAATATTGAAAGTTTTAACTTGTTGCTACCAGATCATACGAGTTTTAAATACAGATTTTTAATATCTACTGTATTATTTCACAAATTAGTATGGTCATTTGGTTCGAGACAGCTGAACTCATTTCAAGATTTTACTACGGAGTGTTTGAACATAAATTGCTGACCCTTTATGACGCATAAACATTGTCGATTGGAAATATAGTTGGCTGACATTTATCACTTGAAATTTTGCGAAGGAACCTAGGTAAAATCATTAGTTGGAAATCCAAGAAGTTGATTCTTGTAAAATCATAAATTTAATCATGGTCTTTGGTTCTAACATACAGTACATGTCTTTCATTTATAAACAAATCGACTATAAAATTTACTGAAGTTCTATATATTTATGGTACAGAAAACTACAAAATTAAGCTTGTTGGTAATAGATAACTCTTAAAATGTAAGTATTCCTTCTGTGTATGAAATGTCGGGCTAAAATTATATTTAAATGGAGTAGATTTGGTTAAAACATCTAAAATCATATAATCTATGTGGCTACATATAAATATCGTTTGTTATTTTGATTACGCATTTCTGTTTATTCTAATAACTGGGACTTATCACAAATTTACTGAAGAGATAATGGTACAAACTAGAGTTAGTAGGAAAAAAATCAAACTTAGATCCCTAATAATCCTTTTTTTAAGTCAATAAATGATATCATTTTGACAGTGAACATGTAAAACAACGTCCTTGTCAGGAAATGCATAGACTTGAAAATATTTTTTAGCCCGTTCGTATATTGTCTTGCTTTAGATCCAGTAAAAAATTAACTCTCTATATGTACACCAACCAGAAAAAGCAATTTAATTGAAGTATAAACAATTGATTTGTTATTCTATATTGTCTAAAAATCCCTTTACTTATATTAACAGGTTTCAATTTTCCTACCGTTTCTATTAAGCATCACAAATGATCAATCTATCTTGGTGAATGGGCATCATGAGAAGATTGCTTCGAAACTGATCTTAGTTATAAGTTCCAGTATATTCCAAACTGGGGTTTGAAATCAAACTGAAGATGCACACTTCTTCCCTGATTTCACTATGAACCGAAATTCAAATATACTATTCTCTACATTTCTGCAAACTGTATAGAAAATAATTCATTTCGGTACAGATTGTTTGAACGTTAAGGACTGTAATTGATCAGTCTCTTATTGGTATATGTGCGTATTGCCTCGATATTGCCTTGATTCACAAATATTCTAAGCAAAGACGGATAGCAGCTAGCAGTGGAATCCTGGACGCGCGTTTCTTCCTATTTCAGACTCATCAGCTAAATGTACCTGCTTCCCTGCATCCAGCTAACGAGTTCCAAATGGGACGAAACGCGTGTACTGAATCCCACTGCTAGCCACTATCCATCTATACTTATATAGAAAATAGATTTAAAAAAATAGGTATACATGATAATTCAAATCTTGATTAATTACATAGAATTTAATCATTTTGAAATTGATCTATTTATATTCGATGAATTTTGTCCTATAGTTTTCTTGTTTTTTTTCCAGATTGAATATCAAAGTAGTGAGAATGATATGAAAAAATCTATAGACTATTTTAAAATAGCCTATGAAATTTCTAACAAAATGTGAGTTTTTTAATTTTCATTTATTAGGTGGGATAGCTATATTTTTTTCTTGAAACTATTCCTGGTAAGTTGGCTCAACTTTGTAAATATTTATTTTACCTCAATCTTTATATATATATATATTTCATTTCAACATAGATATAAAAAGGCTTATTTCATATTTTTGAATATTTTACATATTCGACATACTAGCAGAATATCAGATTGAATGTTAAAAGATAAACTTATAGGCTGGAAGATTATTCTGAGTTGCTTTCCAATTTTGAAATATGAATGGAGACTGTTTTAACTCGTCTGATATCGTTCACTATCTTTTTGGCAAAAAACTGAGTCACATAACACTGATACTACCAATACTTGTTAATTTAGACGGTCTGAGCATGTACTATGTTTAGATCTACATTATTCCAAATATGTCATTCAGTCATTACTGTACAGTTGTAGAAAATTCTGCTCGATAGTGTCGGGCTAACAAATACTTAATAACTATAACTGTATGGAATTTTATGAAGTAATTTCTGAGAAACTAATCTCCTGAATCCTGCTTGTCTCTTTTTTTTCTTTTCAAATTTATTTCACTGGATTATACTCTTTAAATAACATCTTCAAACCCCAATCTTTCCGATTACTGCTTATACTCTTACCGCCTCTACCACTACGGGATTTGAATCGACAACTGCATCTCTGTGCTAATGCGGTATGGCAACTCGAACTGATGTACGTACGTACGAAGTTCTACGTCGTTACTGGCTGACAAGAATAGGAACATAATGTTAAATTCTTATTCAGACTTATTTATTACTCAATCATTTATAAAGTGTTTTTATGATCGTGATAATATGGTTTTATTATTCTGAAAAACACATATAGTTACTACAAAGAAGAAAGTTTCAGTTCCATGGTTGACCTTATTCGTTCAGTTTATCTATTGTGTACAGTTTACATGAAACTCAATTTAAATTTGGATGATAGTGAGTAACATGCAGTGCTGAGTAATATTACATAATCTATTTATTTTATTTATGTATAACTAACGTATGTTTGTAATAGAAAATATATGCCAATAAATATTCTATTTTATAATTTGTTTTTCTCAGGAAACATTAAATTTTTGTATTGTAGTATATATATATATATATATATATATATATATATATATATATATAGTTATTGTGATTAGTATGAAACAAGCCATACTGATAAAATATTCCTCATTCATTCTGATTGAGATATTAAAGAAGAAAACAATATTTATAAAAGTGCCAGCGAACAAAACTTTAACTAAATTCAACGTTTCTCTTGGCAATCTGATCCGAGCTTTTTCGATTATCGATAGTTTTGATGATTGATTATATTTTTGTGTAAAAGCTTCAATCAGATTACCGAGTTAAATGTTGGATTTACTTAAAGTTTAATTACTGAGATTTTTACAAATATGATTTTCCTTCATCATGTCTCACATTAAATCGACGCTCAATTATTGTGAAACTATTTGTTTAAATTTAGACGAAATTTTTATAAATTCTGATTTAGAACATAAAATATCATACATTTAATAAGAGGATACTAAATTTTGTCTTGGTAGTAATTTGACATTGAAATATTGGTAGTATCAATAAAATGTGAATTAATATGTTGTATTATCAAAGAACTAATGTGTTTTATTTATAGTTAGGTGTTCTTTGTTAATCAACTTGTATAGATTTCAAACTATTCAATTATTATAACATCCTTTAAGAGTAAAGATTACAGTCTACTATATTTGGATTAAGTAGTTGTTTTAAAGAGATCCAAATGAGTAACAGAAATGTTTCATATGTAATTTCTGTTTGATGTTAAAAAGATTTAATCCCCCTCTTATTTCGTTAGATATGTAGTAATTAGAAGGTAATTTAATACAATCAGATTTCCTTTACATTGTGTTTATCATTTCAATACTAAACACTAAGTTTTGGCTTACTGACAGTACTCAGTCATTCATCATTTATACCTTTATCATATTACTAAAACGTATTATTTTTATCTTTTCGTTAAGTGATGCTAAAAAGAATCTGTCAAACATTTTAAATAAAACAGATAAGCTTATTCATTCGTGTCATCAACGTGTAAGTGAACAAGATAAATTTTGATTCAGTGTACTGAAGATTTTCCATTAACCTTTAATAGTGGTCATTAGAACGAAATAAATTATGATAATAACAGATCTAAGTATTATTTATTATGGGTTTGTTCACAAAAATTCATCAACTGGAAAATCTCAGTAATAAAATATATTCTGGTGACTTGTAGGCAGAACATGTCATTTTCATCTAATGAGTAGATTATCTATTCCTGTTACTTTCTTTACTTACGCCTGTTACTCTTAATGGAGCATAGGCCACCGACCAGCATTCTCCAACTCACTCTGTCCTGGGCCTTCTTCTCTAGTTCCATCCAATTCTTGTTCATTTTTCTCATGTCTATCTCCATTTCCCGGCGTAATGTGTTCTTTGGTCTTCCTTTTTTCCTTTGGCCTTTAGGATTCCATCCAGAGGCTTGCCTTGTGTTGCAGTTGGGTGCTTTCCTCAATGTGTGTCCTATCCACTTCCAGTACTTCTTGATTTCTTCATCCGCTGGGATCTGGTTTGCTCTCTTCCACAGTAGGTTGTTGCTAATAGTGTCCGGCCAACGGATCCAAAGTACTTTGCGTAGACAACTGTTACTAAACACTTGTATCTTCTGGATGATGGCTTTTGTAGTTCTCCAAGTTTCCGCCTCATACAGTAGAACTGTCTTGACATCTGTATTGAAAATTCTGACCTTGGTGTTGGCTTGTGTACAGTTGTCTTGAGTTCCAGATGTTCTTCAATTGTAAATATGCTGCTCTTGCTTTGGTGATCCACGCCTTCACATCTGCATCAGATCAACCGTGTTCATGAATGATGCTGCCCGAATAATTAAAGGTTTTTACATCTTCCAAATCTTATCCGTTAAGTGTGATTCGATTGCTGCATGCTGTGTTGTATCGGAGAATCTTACTTTTCCCTTTGTGTATATTGAGACCTACTGCTGCCACACTGGTCGTCTTTTCCTGCATTTGTTGTTGCGTGTGCGATAGAAGGATCAGATCGTCTGCGAAGTCTAGATCGTCCAACTGCACCCTAGATGTCCACTGTATCCTGTGTTTCCATTCAGATGTTGACGTCTTCATGATCCAGTCGATCACCAAGAGATAGAGAAAGTGTGAGAGTGAGCAACTTTGCCTGACACTGGTCTTTATTTCAAACGACTTTGTCAACTGTCCTCCATGCACGATTTTGCAGTTTAATCCATCATATGAATTCCGTATGATATTGACTATCTTCTGAGGCACGTCGTAGTGTCGAAGAAGTTTCCATAGTGTTGTTCTGTCCACGCTATCAAATGCCTTTTCGTAGTCAATGAAGTTGATGTAGAGTGATGAATTCCATTCAATTGATTGTTCCACAATGATCCGTAGAGTTGCGATCTGGTCTGTACACGATCTATCCTTACGGAATCCTGCCTGTTGGTCACGAAGTTGGGCGTCTACGCAGTCCTTCATCCTGTTTAACAATACCCTGTTGAAGACTTTTCCCGGTATTGAGAGAAGAGTGATGCCCCTGTAGTTATCACACTTGCTGAGATCGCCTTTCTTCGGTATTTTGATCAGAAGTCCTTCTTTCCAGTCTTTTGGTACTTGTTCCTCATCCCAAATCTTATTGAAGAGAATGTGGAGTATCCTTGCAGTTGCCGCTACGTCTGCTTTTAGTGCCTCTGCTGGAATGTTGTCCGGTCCTGCTGCTTTTCCAATCTTGATTTGTCTGATGGCCATGCTGATTTCTTCAATTGTTGGTGGGCCAACATTGGTTGGGAGGTCCGTGGGTGCTGCTTCGATATTGGGTGGGTTCAGTGGAGCTGGTCGATTCAAGAGTTCTTTGAAGTGTTCCACCCACCTGTTTCGTTGTTCTTCAATATTGGTGATTACCTTGCCTTCCTTGCTTTTCACTGGTCGCTCCGGTTTAGGGTGATTTCCAGAGAGTTTCTTTGTCGCGTCATACAGTTGTCTCATGTTTCCTTCTCTTGCAGCCTTTTCCGCCGTCATTGCTAAATCTTCCACATATTTACGTTTAGAACAACACATATAAGCGAACAATATTGATTTCGATTAGATCCTCATCAGGCTTTACTTTAATATACAGTAATATTCGTATGCATATACGAAATCATTAAACCAATCAAGGTAGTTTACAAGTCAATGATAACAATGAAAACGATTACATAATAAGTGAAACGTGAAAAGTGCAAATTGATGGTGTGACAACAGGTGCATTAGTTTTGATAAGAATAATAAAGGCTCAAATCAATGTTACATAATCGGAAATAGGTCAATGATTAGAAAAATATAGAAACTGAGATAACATTTATAAAATTATGGGATGATGTAATAAGAAATGTTCAGATAAAGTGGTAGGAGGGGGTGAAGAAAAATAATAAACGAGGAGAAAGTTTGAAAAAGAATAAATAAATTCATTTAATACTTAAGGCCAGGGGAGAGATAAGGGTGTTACAAATTTCTTCTGAACACAAAGACTTGGCTTGTTGGCTCGGATTCCTATAGCTTCTGCTATGTGTAAGAGACGAGATCGAACACCATAAGGGAAACTAGTGGGAATACGATAAATAACTTTGAACGACTTGTTTCTGTCCACTATATGACCGCTATCGATCAAGTGTGATAGAACTGAGCTGCGTATTGTTTTGATGTAACCTTTTCTTAACCACGAAGGGAGGTGTTCACTAACTCGTTGGTTCAGTTGCCTGGTAGTGGGCCCAATATAGCTTTCTCCAAAAGAGCAGCTGAATTCGTAGATACACATAGAAGTGGCATAACCAAGTAACTTATCCTTCAATTGCGGAATCACCTTCGATCGGGTCGAATACGATAGGCAGAGGTTGGCAGCATTAAACGTTCTCTTTACTGCTCTAGTTTTACTTATTATGTAATCGTTTTCATTGTTATCATTGACTTGTAAACTACCTTGATTGTTTTAATGATTTCGTATATGCATACGAATATTACTGTATATTACAGTAAAGCCTGATGAGGATCTAATCGAAATCAATATTGTTCGCTTATATGTGTTGTTCTAAATTTACAATATGGGGATATTTCAAATATTTACGTTTGTCAGTTCTGATGCTCCTCTTCACTTGCTTGTTTACTTCTGTGTATTCAGCTTTTGCCTTGGCTTTTTCTGCTCTTGTTCGGCTGGTATTGATTGCCGCCTTCTTGTTCCTCCTTTCTTCAATCTTATCCAGTGTATCAACAATGATCCATTCCTTGTGGTGGTGCTTCTTGTGGCCCAGGACCTCATGACATGTTGAAGTGATTGCCTCTTCGATCCCTTTCCGGCTGCTCTCCACAGTAGTTCCTTCTCCATTGAGTAGATCATGAAAGGCCTGGAACTTATAACTGAGGACTATCTTGAATTTGTTGAGTTTGTCGGTATCCCGAAGAAAGGCCGTATTGATTTTTTGTGATATTGTCCTTCCCGTTATTCAGTACTTCTTGAGTTTCAATTTCATCTTCGACACCAGCAAGTGATGATCTGAGGCTATAACAACCCCTCTCTTGGTTCTCACATCCTCACGTCCTCCTGAACTTTTTGTTGATGCAGATATGGTCGATTTGGTTCTTTGTAGTGTGATCCAGTGAAGTCCATGTGGTTTTGTGAATGCGTTTATGTGGAAATATAGTTCCGCCTATGACCAGTTTATTGAAGGCACATAGGTTTGCAAATCTCTCATCATTTTTGTTCCTTTGTCCCAGTCTGTGTCGTCCCATTATGTCTTCATATCCAGTGTTGTCCGTTCCAACCTTGGCATTGAAGTCTCCCATCAGAATATTCAGGTCCTTTGTTGGGTACTTCTCGATGATTGACTGCAGCCTATTGTAGAATTGATCTTTAGCGTCTTCATTGTAGTCGTTGGTAGGCGCATAGCATTGGATGATGTTCATTGAAATGCCCTCTTTCTTTGTTTTGAACGAGGCTTTGATGATCCTTGGTCCATGAGATTCCCATCCTATAAGCGCATTTTGCGCTTGTTTGGACAGCATCAATGCAACTCCTTGTGTATGCGGAGCATTTTCTTCTTCATGGCCGGAGTATAACAGGAGTTCTCCTGAAGTTAATCACTGTTGTCCAACTTGTGTCCAATGTGTTTCACTGATCCCAAGTACCTCTAGGTTGTATCTTCTCATTTGTGCAGCAATTTGGAAGGCTGTTCCGGTGTCCCACATTGTACGAACATTCCATGTACCTAAATAAATGGTCGCTCTGGTTGTCAGAAGGGGCATCGGCCTCGTAACTTCCGAAGGAATTCGGCTTTCATCATGAGGCGTCATAATTCTTCTAAATGAAGACCTTCTGATTCCCAGGGCAGAGTTTAAAAGGTTTGAATAATTTTTTCTGGTTAGCGTTTTTTTAGCGAGTTAGTTTTCTACGGGATGGGGACGCTAACACCATGCCCAACCCTCCTCCTTTATCCGAGCTTGGGACCGGCAGTAGCCCCCGGAGGGACTCCAGTCGGAGTTATCTATTCCTATACTCTAATAATTTTCTTTACTTGGTAAAGTTAACAATAAATCTTTTGATTAAAACACCACTTTTACAGGCATTTTTATGCAGTGTATATCGGCCAGAAATATTTTCTAAAGTTGAATAGATACACATATTAGATAGTTTCTGAGGATAATATTCTGATTTACAGTATGATTTTCCATATTCATATCATATATATTTGTATTTCTTATAATTAACAGGTGAACATCTCCTTGGTGAAATGTTACAAATGTTAAGTACTTATAATGAAAAAAACAATCAAAGCTCCATTGAATATCATGTTGATAATAATTCAAATGAATCTGTCGATCTAATGAGAATAAAAACTAGTTCACTAGATAACGATAATCATCATATCAAATGTCTAACAGATCAATGTTTGAATTCGATTTATGAATACTCTGATGAATATTTTGTAAATTTAATTTGTTCATTACGTTCACTATTAATAAAAATTTATATAAAATCAAGTCGTTTCCAAGTAAGTCAATCCAATTTCATATCATAATATAGTATCATTTTCAATGTTGGAATATGCATATCACGTTGAATTTACACTTTAGAGTTGACGTATTTGGAATTCTTGATCATATTCAAGATGAATTTAATGTGATTAAAAGAAATTTCACTACAAATTATTACCAGTATAGTGTTGTGGATATTATTAAACTTTTTGATTAAGATCATGAACCGATTGATGTTAGACCACATTGAAAACCGTCCAGTGCTTTCAGGTTTTCAATGGTGGTCTAACATCAATCGATTCATGATCTCAATCAAAGAGATTATTAATTGTTACATTAATTGTTCATTTTTATGACGCCAATTCATGAATACTGATGAATATTTCTTTTAAAGGAAACAGCAATTCATTGGCTTTAAAGATAAGTCTTCCCCAATTGTTTTTCACAATATAACTTATCAACTAATAAGCGATGTGAGAAAGTGAAATTCTAGTTAATAGTTTGAATGTAATATTCAATCATTTTATTTAGAAACGGATTCGTTTACTACAAAGATCAACTACTTGTAAGACAAAGTAAAATCAAAAATCACATGTTATCTTTTTCATATAAAATCTATTGAGAATATTTAGTAATTGGAGGAAAACTGTGTTTTAATTGATAATCGGATTCTATAATCTCATTTAGTGAGTGAATCACTAAGATAGTATTGTATCATTACTAACTGTATTCTGTTGGCTTTGATCACTTAAAATAGTTTTGGACAATAAATACAATTCGAAATATTATCCAGTTTATAACACAAACTTTTTCGGTTAAATTGATTCAAAAGAGAAATACACCTTGTTATGGTAACTTTGTCTTTCTGAACTAAATGGTTCATCACGAAGCTTCTGTCATTATCTTAAACAACATTCTCAACGGTTTACTTCACGTAAAAGTGAACCATAATTGTTGAGCTATCTGGTTTTAATGACGTTGTCAGTGGATGGTTGAATTCAAAATTTTTGCCAGAATTATTTATGTCTATGTCCTTATTGAGCTTCGTTTTCACTTCTTTGCACGTAATTAGTTGATCCATACAGAGTAGGTTGGTTAACAGAGTCTATATCAATCTGCTTTTTCATCACAGGCCGACGTAAGTACCATGATCACATAAATTCTCTTCAATTCTTTGAATTTTATTGATCTAGAATTGTCATAGCAACCGGTTGATTCAACACTTATGGACTAATTAAACACAACACTTCCATTTGAAGTGAGTCCTGATGACCTGTTGTAAAACAACATTGAAAACCAGCTCAGAGAACATAACAAAAAAACATATATCTAAGCCAAGATTCTTTTACATTATTACAAAGCGTTTACTAAATAAACGAAATTACATTTGTAGATGGTGTTTTCGCCGAGACGTTTTATTATTTGGATTAGACAACAGGTAGTACTTTTATAGTTACTGTAGAGCATCTTATTAATGAATGAAGTCATATAACTCCAAAATTGTAGTAGGAATGTCAAATGTTGCGATGACGTAAGTAACTTTATGGAGATAATCTCATTTTTCCGGGTCTTATGAACATCACTAGTACGTTAACTCGCCAAGACATGTCTTGAAGGTGCTCAAGTAATCAAAGTTACTGTGTATGTTATCTGTGTAATAGTTCACAGTATGACTCCGCATGTTGATCTCTACTTTTAATCTTGGCTTATATCCAACAATACTTCAGATGTTCCATTGAGTTATTCGATCGCTAATTCAGTGTCCAACTAGTTTAATGAAGAGTTAGTAGAAATTAAGAATTTCCAGATGGACTAGTTATAAACAAAATATCCAAGTGGCTTCGTATATAATTAAAAATGTGTCAATAAAAGAATATAATATTTGTTAATGACGTTTAAATAACACTGAACCGATAAAGTACATTGATATTGGAATTCATTAAAATTTATTGAACAAATCTTCACAAACTATTTTGTCATGATAAAGTTATTATAGATTCTCCAGACAAATGGAGAATAATACTATCGACATGAAGCTGTATTGGTTTTGATGCATTTCAAATGTTGAATTCATTCCTATTAAAAAAAAAGTTTTAAAACAATTTGAGGCGTTCTAAACTATCTAAACTAACTGATACAGAATCGAAAGATTATGAAATTCTTTCAGGGTTTTTCTGAAAGAAACAGAAAATCATACATACACACCATAATAATGAGGGGTTAACTTTTTTTGATATCATGTACTTTTGTTGACATTGTGTTATGTGAATCTGTAACGGTTTGTTTGTACAACATTGTAGTATCAAAGTCTACTTTAACAATCTGTATTTTTACACGCCTACGTGATTTATTCCAACCTTTGGACAGATGGATTATTCTGTTCTTTTTTAGTCATTTTGCTCTTTATATTTGTGACCTTGAGAATGTGTGTATGCTAGTAGAGATGTGTTTATGTACTTGTCCGTTTTTCATAGTGAGTCACTTGTTATTTGTTGAGTAGTTCATCTAGCATCTATCTGTAAACAAACGCATGAAATATGTGTATCTAATATATTCGTTTTTTCAACTTTTGACGTAGCCTTGGTTTAGAATTGTTGAGTCATCAGAATATATGGTACCACAAGTAAGGTATTTACATTTCTTTAACATCATTATCGTCATACTATCGTTGAGTCAAGTGGACAATAAATTACTTATGTTGTTCAGAATGGCTATAGGATTATCATAATCAAACTATCTAACTGAGAGAACACAACACCAACGGAACATTCTTCTGAACTACATATCTTTTCAATCATTTCATATTACAAAAATTTATATTAAGAGCTGTTTTGTATAGAAATTCTAATTATCAGTTATGGAGTAATTGTGTTAAATAAGAAAGATTAATCAATTAATGACTGAAATAACTTAATTTTGAAATTTAACAATTTAGCTGAATTAATATTAATTTCATATTCACGAACAAAGCATATTTTAATAAGATATGCTGTTACTACTGAATATTGTTCTCATTCGTGTATAGTTTTTAATTTATAAGTATTCACTTTAAAGCAATTAATTCTTTTGACAAATCTCAATAGTGTAATTAGAAGATGACATAGTTCTGATAATCTTCATCTTCTTATTCACTTTAAATCTGTAATGTTTGCTCGTCATTATGCAACAACTCGTATACATTTTTAGTACTTTGATGTAAATTACTTCATGGATTTTTGGACGATGTTTATTGCGTATTCATTACCTAAAACACATACTCCATCCCATGTGTAACAGAAGTGAATGTAAGCACAAACAATTAATCGATAATTGTGACTTGACCTTGTTAAAAAAGCATAAACACTAAACTAGAATATAATTTTGTAATTTAATTTATCATGAAAAATAGTTAACTGTTTTTATTTTCTTTACGATCGAGATGAACCATCTGGATTAAGAGAATTTTTCTTGGTATTTATATGATTATTATTATTGTTATGACTTTATGTCCGGCTTTTTATCACGTGATTTATCCACCAATCAAAATACAACTTATACAATCTCAGCACTGTGCCAAACCAATGACGTTCGACCAGTATGAGCAGCCTAGCGTCCTTATTGATCCTATGTTCACCTAGCCGGCCCACTTGAGTCCAGAACACTAATACAGCTTCCACTATGTGAACCGAATCTAATCGAATCATTTGTTTCAGACATACTGGGTTTATATATCAAACAAACAGGCCGCAACGCACCATAAAATAGGAAATAACATTTGTACACAATAAAGCCAAAAAGTGACTGTGAACGTGGGAGGCAGTAGTCAATAAACTGAACATAGCTTAAGAACAGTAAATCGTACAGTAATAATATATAGGTCACAATAAAGCTTATAACAAGGGGAATATAGATATACATAATCTAGTTACTGAATATTTATACCATGAGAATATATAAATAATATTAGTCCATTAATAGGTCTCAGATGTGACTTGTAATGTAATCTTCACTAGGATATAACAACTATTATTATTACTATTATTATGTGACTACTACTTTTATTGATGTAAAAAGAAATCCAATTTTATTTTTGAATTAATATTTCAGTTATGTAATTTTAGGAAGCCTTAAAATTATTAGAAGAAAATTTAAATATTCAAGAAGACACATTTGGAATGTACAGTACACAAGTAATAAAGACATGTAAACTAATCTTGTCAATAAACATGGTTCAAGAAAATTTCGCTGAAGCATTTAATCAAGCTGAAATGGTATGTACAAAATACTTTAGTTTGATCTGAATATTCACTATTTTATTCTTGGTAGAAATAATAATTTATCTAGAGAATTCATTAATTATTCCATATTCTTTGACCAGAAAATTTAAACTATGGAACGTTCAATGTTTTTCTAGAAAAAGGAAGTAACATGAACGGCTAAAAAAACTTAGCTATTGGAAATGTTCTATAATTAATCAGCTTGATAATCTGATACGTGACTGATAGTATTTAGTGGATATAATACAATTATGGGTCACCAATTATATTGAATAATGGTCAAAAAATGACTAGAGAGGATGTACTTACAAAACGCAAACGAAATGTAGGAAAATACTAACATTAACGTCATTTTTAACGTAATTAAAGCAAGTTGTTAACGGTTGATTCGTGCTTGAATTTTAAACGGAAGACATGAGTTTCAGGTACCTACTAATGTTCGTACTCTGCATGTACCCATAACGAGTGCAGTGTGCACAATGTAAAGATACCATTGTAAAGATATATTGAATCTCTTGCTTTTTAAAACATTATACATATATAATGAAAACATCGGGTTAAACATCCTGTCAAAAAATTAGACAACCGAATCTCAAAGACTTTAAACAAGCTAGTCAAAGCAGAAGAAATAACAAAACGAGACCAATGAAGAATAAAACCCAATGGACCAGTACTCCCTCGATTCTACGGGAGACCGAAAATATACAAAACAAACATTCCACAACGTTCAATTGTAGGACTCCCCGGAACAGCAACATACAATCTGTCAAAAGAAATTCCACGAATACTGAAACATTTAGTAGATTCATCCAACCACTCCATCAAATCCCTCACACAATTCCTGGACCAAATTAAGGATATTCAAATCAACAACGACGAACTCATGATGTCCTTCTATGTAACGGCGTTATTCACCTCAATTGAACCAAGGTTAGCAAAAGGAACTATATCCCTACTGTTCAACAACGACACAAATCTCACTAAATACACGAAGCTTCAAATTAAAAGTCTACTGGAACTCATCGACTTATGCTTAACATCATATTTTCAATTCAACAACAAAATCTACGAACAAACGAAAGGGACACCAATATCAGGACTGATCGCAGAGGCAGTGGTGCAAAGACTAGAAGCCACTATATTACCAGTGATCAAGCCAAAAATTTGGATTCGCTATGTAGACGACACCTTCGTCATCGTCAAAAAGAATGAACTGGAAAACACTTACAAACTGATCAACAACGTTTTCAATGACATCAAGTTCACAATGGAACAGGAGTCAAACAACCAACTAGCATTCTTGGATATATTGATCACTAGAACCGACACAGGAAAACTGGAAACTCAAGTGTATAGGAAACCGACCCATACAGATCGAATTCTCAACTACAATACCAACAACCCAAGAGCTCACAAAATCAACTGCGTACACACTTTGTTCAAGAGGGCGAGGACACACTGGCAGCACGAAAAAATGAAGAGAAATACCTGAAGGATGTATTTCAAAAGAACGGCTACCCAACCAACTTCACCAAGAAATACCAACCGTACGCAGCATCAGAACCTAAGTCCAGCACAGAAATCAACAAAACGATCGCCCTACCATACATAAAAGGCATATCAGAAACCGCAACGAGACTGCTGACAACCTTCGGGATAGGTGTGGCACACAAACTGACAAAATCACTACAATCAACCCTATGCAAACCAAAGGATGAAATAACAAAGGAAAATAAATCAAACATCATCTACAAAATAAATTGTGCCAGCTGCGAAAAAGAACTACATCGGACAAAGCGGATGCCCCTTCACCTTCGCCTACATGAACATCAACTAAAAGTCAAACGCCATGATACTTCCTCACTTATATCAATACACAAGGACAGCTGCGGACACTCATTCGACTGGAAATCTTGGACAGAGGAAATTCCAAAAACACCAGAGAATTTTTAGAAGCCTGGCACTCATGTCAATCAGCAATCAACAAGCATATTGAAATCAATCCAATTTATCAACCAATCAGGAAAATTATGCACAAATATAGGAACAAAAATGAAACCAATGGGAGACAACCAAAACAAAGAAGTAAACAATGACAAATTTAAGGTCAATAAGAACCAATCAACATCGAGGTGTACAGAACAACCTGTGAAACGCATATGGAGAAATTCGAACGCTGCACTTCTATCTGAAGTTTGTACTGGTGATGTCGTTCAGAAAAACGAGGAAGGCTCCACGACCAAACCATCCAGTTCAGGGAACAAAACTCTATTAAAATCCTGGTGGTGAGGATACTACTGCAAAAAGAATAACTGAGTTAGTTAATGAAATCGTAAAACTACAGTGTTAAGGAATTATACCAAACCACCATGAACTTCCATGAAATAAAATAATAACAGTAGTTGAAGTGCACATATTTAGAATGCCAAAATATTCACAAAGTTTATGATTGTTGATTTAATCTATAGAAAAGGTAGAAAACATTTTTTCAGGTTCATTGGTTGTTGAAAAGTAGTTAAAGGATAGTGTAGTAAGTGTGAGGTGTATTCGCTTGCTATTCATTATTTTATAGCCCTAAATTTGTTTATCATTTTATTTCAATAATTTGACTTTCCTTGCTTCGTTTCAATTAATTTTTTTCCCCGGTTTTGACAAAATCTGAACAAGCTTCACTTAATGTTAGATATTAAAAACTTCTAAGTTAATTCACTTGTTACTACTTAATTAGAAAAACAGTATGATTCTTTATAAAGCAAACGTTTTATGAAATGATATATTAGTTTTTGTCCTTCAGAAATTTATTTCATTGTACAGAAATTCATTTCTTATCTACCTTACTTTCAATAAATAACATAAACACAGTGCCTTGATCTTGAACAATTCACATTCGGTGCTAATTCGAAACAAGCAAAGAGAACTAAAGATATTTTGAATGCATTATCAAGGTTAGCCAGAACTAAATTTTATGAAATTAGTCATATTTTCATTTTATAATTAGTTTATTAATGAGCTATCTGATTCATTTTTTTCATAGTGTGTTTCATAGTAAAATTGCAAGTCATTTATCAAGAAATAAAACAGTTGAATGAAACTCCTTAATAGTCAGGGTGTAATTAGAATACGAATAAAGTGTCGGAAAAATAATAGAGGATCTATCCACTTGATCAATTATAAGAGAATAAAACATCTAAAACAAATTTACATAATGAAGAGGTATATGAAAGTCGTGATTAAACTAAGTGATTAAATATCCCCGACCGTAGCACACGAGACCAAGTTGGTCACATTCAAAATCCGACTGATTAAATATCCCACAAAAGACATAACTGAAAACTAAGTTGGTGTTTATAAATTGTCTAGACTCAAAACATTTAAGCTTTATCTCACGATATCTATTGAATGCATATTATCCTATTTGAAATAAGATATGTTACATTTTACTGATTAAAATCCATATTGATCACAACTTGCGTAAGATATAATATTTCTAAGCAATGGTTTGAATATATTACTTTAATCTTAACAAAACATATTCAACTCTACAGGTAAGGTTCACATAAAAAACATTTCAAATGAAATTTAATGAATCAAGTCATATTGTCTACAACACTAGACTATATAGATAGACTATATAGACTATAGATATATAATTTCGAATAAATTGGGCATTGAGTAGATTGTTATAAATAAATAAATATAATTGTATTATCTCAAGTTTAAACTTAGATTAATTTTAATTTGGTTATTTATTCTCTGAAGAAGTGGTTTACACTAAGTCACGAAACGTCAGAAAATCTAATTTTTCTACTTATTAGGATATTACATATATATTAATATGTTTACACTAGACTATAGTTCATGTATAACATAGTTTTGAGATTATATAAGAGTTTTTTTCAGTATATTATTGACAGTAAGATAATTAAAATAATCATTTATCAATCTGTAATTATCTTTTTTGTCTGTTTATCATTTCTCGGTCATTAAAAAAAATAATTTGCATTCTCATTATTTGCTTATTTATAGTTACAAGAAAACTGGAAATAAAATCAATTAAATTCAATCAAACTGATATATCTGCAAATGAGTAATTATTTCTCAATAGTAAACTTATCTCTGAAGAAGTGGCTTACACTAAGTCACGAAACGTCAGAAAATCTAATTTTTCTACTCATTGGGATATTACAAATAGATTAATATATTTATAACTATCTACTCAATGCTCAATTTATTCGAAATTATCAAGTCAAACCTTGGTAATGATATCTGTCTGTATATCTGCTTCTAATCTTATATATATATATAAAATAGTTAAAAGAATTCATTAAATTCTGTCATAATACTATTATTTAGTTTTTTCTAAATATAATCAATAGAAATGTAGAAAGTGAACTAAGATGGTGGTTGGTGGTAGTCAACAGGAAACCCTATACCTAGGCTTTGTGCTACTTGACACTTGTCAGCAAAGTGTACTTGTAATCGTGAGGGAACATTCTCTCTGATGGATTCGATCTCGTGTCACCCAGCTTTACAGTGAACTATTTTACTTAAAATTAACAAACATCAGTACATACTTGATCACTATTCTTATGTTCATACCTTATTTTAAGTGAACATATCTTATTGGAGAATAGAATTACTAAGTTATTAAATGAATTATTTATAATGCTCAGTTTGTGTTAATTTGAACTCAAAGCATCAATCGTGCTGAATTTCAAGCCAGTTTTTTAATCCTTAGTAATAATGAATCTCAAACATTGAACGATTAAGAAGTCAATAAGAAACTTTCATTTTTGCATCAAAATTATTTGAGGCATTATGAAGTAGCTGGTCTAATTTAATTTGTCTGTTACAGGATTTTGACATTATTGTGGGTTTAAATACACTCAGGCACAATACTCACGGAGAAATAGTTCTTCACAATGTTAATATCATATGGCACCACTGAAATTAGGATACCTGACATAGCTTTTGGTAGAATTTATCAGTTACTGTCTAAATACTAATAAAAAGCTAAAAGTTACAAAGATGAGCATTTAAGCTAAGTAGCGACTATTATTCCGTAGACAAAAATGTCTAGCGCACCAAGAGAGAAAATGCTACTACAAACACCATTCTCAGTAATAGGTTTTCTGCAGTTTTGACTACGTTCAAACTAAAAGTACAACTTGAAGATGTGCGTTTCCTATAGTTCATTGTTGTGGAAAAGGTAATTTTGCTACGACCGTTGTTGCTTCCTCGACGTGGTGGTCGGGCTTGCCTATCGTGATGAAGCAACCGAGCTATACTGGCTGGAACAACTGTTCCTCAAAGTCCTACCATGTCAGACAGGTCGGTTGATGAGCGGTAAGAATAAAAGCAACAAACCCAAGGTCCGAAGGCGAAGTCGTACTGCTGACTGTACAGAGGTGTGACAGCAGTAAGGTGTTTCCTTCAGACAACCAGCATGACAGCGATGCTGCCTTCCCACAAGGAGGGCTGGGGTTAGAAAAGTTCGCTCCTAAAAATACACACCTCACCTTATCCCACGAATATTCGTCTCCGGCGATAAGGTCCCAAAAATTACGGAGCTAACACAAAAATTACCTATATAAAGGTCGTGTGTGACCGACCTCAAGCAGTTGTCCCTTGGGCACTGCGGTCACGCTCTCAGGTCACCAAGACCGCCTCTAATCCAATTTCCTTTTCAGGTACCTCCAGAACAACCCTTCCTCGGTGTGGGCATCCGGGAAGTAATAACCGCCCTCATACCTCTAACAGCACTCAAGACCACTGTATTCATAATCAACCTTTCTCTTCAATTCCTATTATTCCTCCTACATCGACTTTCAACTCTAAACCTACTCTTTTGACTTCATCCGAAAGTGTCACCATGGTCAACGATTCTAGTGCGCGAAACACTGTTCCGGGTCTACTGAAACCTCGCTCCAAACTACACATTGGAGCATTCAACGTACGCACCCTATGTCAAATCGGTCAGCAAGCTTCCTTGGCTAGAACCCTAGAATCTCGTACCATTGATGTATGCTGTGTCTCTGAAACACGCATACAGGATCCTAGTGTGGTCATTCACTTGGCCTCGCCTCGACAAAACGGAGAGCCAACGAGATACCCTCCGTGTATATGGTGACCCGACGGCCAGCTCTCGTGGACTGGCAGGAGTAGGCATAGCACTAAGCATGAGGGCGGAACAAGCACTGTTAGAGTGGATCCCCGTCAACAGTCGTTTATGTGCTGTTCGGCTAAACGGCTACGTAAGAACTCAGAAGGATAGGGACGCACGTCGTTGCCTTTTTGTCGTTTCTGCCTACGCTCCCACTGACTGCAGCTCAGATGAAGTGAAAGATGAATTTTACAGAAAGCTCGAACTTCTTCAGAAAGCTAAACGCTCAGACATAGTACTCGTAGCAGGTGATTTTAATGCTCAGATAGGCAGTTTAAACCAAACAGAAAGGCATTTAGGTGGATATTTTAGTATTCCGACACAGCGAACAGATAATGGTGATCGTCTGCTGCAGCTATGCTCAGACAATCGTTTATTTTTAGCAAACACAAATTTTAAGCATAAGGAGAGACATCGTCTAACATGGCGACCCCCTACACCAAACCAACGATGGACTCAAATAGATCATATTGCCATCAGTCATCTTGGAGAGGGTCGGTAGAAGATTGTCGCTCATTCTGGAGTACCTGCTTGGACTCCGACCATGCCCTAATACGGGCACGCATCTGCTTGCGCCTCACTGGACGCAAAAAAGCCACAGTAAAAAGACCCATTAGAACTGAATTGAGTAGCGAGAAAACCAAATTAGGTACTAGGAACAACTGAGGTCACATTTAGGTAGTTCTGAAAACCACAGGGTTACAAAGAACCAATGGATTTCCTCAAGGTCTATTGCACTGATGGATTCTCGTAAACTCATCCCATCAGGCTCTGAACACGATGAAGAGCGACAACAAATCAGATCTAGGTTAAGCAAAAGTCTAAGGAACGACCGTGAGCAGTGGTGGGCAACGAAAGCAAAAGAGATGGAAAAGGCGGCGGCTATAGGGAACACAAGACAGCTCTACAGACTAATAAAGAAACTGGAATTAATAAGTCAAGTGTAAGTCAGTCTATTCCGGAAAAAGACGACGCTCTCATCTGCTCTCAGTCCAGACGTTTAGAACGATGGGCGGAACATTTCAAACAATCGTTTATTTTTAGCAAACACAAATTTTAAGCATAAGAAGAGACATCTTCTAACATGGCGACCCCACACCATGTAGTGTCAGTTACTATGTTAAGCCCATATACCTTATTCTAGCTTTCGGACATCCCATTCTATTCACTCTACTTGAGCCATACTTTGACCTGTTAACTATTCGCTTATCAGTCTTGACTGTTTTTATATGAGCGTATATGTGGGTACCCTTCTTATCCCATTAATCACATGTCTGTAGCTTTATTTTGTCTGACTATAAATATTGAGTAACGCTTGACTAAAATGGAGTTGGCTTCCCAGCCATCTCCCTGCGTGTCATTTTGCTTTGCTATGTATCATTCGCTTCATGTACAAATATATGTATTCACAAATCAATTCTCGTTAATCAACTTATTTATTCCGTTATTAACCAAAGTGATTTAAGTCGACGATTATATACGAGAATAGGCGATAACAATCATTCGTACGATCTTGGAGTTAGATCCATCGGGCCCCACAACCAAACCAACGATGTACTCAAATAGACCATATTGCCATCAGTCATCATTGGAGAGGGTCGGTAGAAGATTGTCGCTCATTCCGGAGTACCTGCTTGGACTCCGACCATGCCCTAATACGGGCACGCATCTGCTTGCGCCTCACTGGACGCAAAAAAGCCACAGTAAAAAGACCCATTAGAACTGAATTGAGTAGCGAGAAAACCAAATTAGGTACTAGGAACAACTGAGGTCACATTTAGGTAGTTCTGAAAACCACAGGGTTACAAAGAACCAATGGATTTCCTCAAGGTCTATTGCACTGATGGATTCTCGTAAACTCATCCCATCAGGCTCTGAACACGATGAAGAGCGACAACAAATCAGATCTAGGTTAAGCAAAAGTCTAAGGAACGACCGTGAGCAGTGGTGGGCAACGAAAGCAAAAGAGATGGAAAAGGCGGCGGCTATAGGGAACACAAGACAGCTTTACAGACTAATAAAAGAAACTGGAATTAATAAGTCAAGTGTAAGTGAGATCATTTCGAAAAAAGATGATACTCTCATCTGCTCCCAGTCCAGACGTTTAGAACGATGGGCGGAACATTTTAGAGAACAGTTCAGCTGACCTTCAGCTACTCTACAACTACCCTCCATTCCCAGACAGTGTGAGTGGAACATTGAAGTAGGTCCCCCAACTCTAGCAAAAGTTCAAAAGGCATAGTTAATCTGAAACGTGGAAGGGCAGTTGGTCCAGATGGATTGGCTCCAGAGGTCTTTAAGAATGGTGGTCCAATTTTAGCGATTAGGTTGACTAATTTTTTAGCTAAGATCTGGGAGTTAGACGTTATTCCATCTAACTGGTCACAATCACTTATCGTCCCAATATATAAGAGAGGGTTAAAATCATCCTGTGACAACCATAGAGGGATTAGTTTAACTAATATAGTATCTAAAATACTAGCCTCGATAATTATCAGACGCTCAACTAAGACTCGTGAACTGCAAACACGAGAGAATCAAGCTGGCTTCAGACCTGGTCGTGGCTGCATCGACCATATATTCACCATTCGTCAGGTTCTAGAACATAGGCATACTTACCGGCTCGACAATGGTGGTCTTTCTGACTTAAAAGCAGCATTTGACTCGGTAGACCGCGAGATTCTGTGGCAGTGTCTGTCATTGAAAGGCGTACCTCGAAGTACATAAACCTTGTGAAGGCTCTTTACTCGAACACTACTAGTCGAGTCAGAGCTTATGGCGAACTGTCATCTGCTTTTGCAACCTCAAGTGGTGTCCGTCAAGGTGTCCACTTCTCCATTTTTGTTTAACTTCATCATAGACCTATTGATGGAAATAACATTCTCGTCTACTGA